CGGGGTGCTCAGCGAAGTGACGCTACACGCAGATTCAAATTCGACATCGCCATCCCTGGGGGGGGGGCTGCGATCTGCGAAGCTGTCGCCACTTTCGAGGGCTGATGGCGGGTCCTGCGGAGCGAGGCACCGCGCGGACCTGAGCGGGATTTGTCGTCTTTGGGGGGCAGCGATCTGCGAAGCTGTCGCCACTTTCGAAGGCTGCTGGTGGGTCCTGCGGGGTGAGGCACGGCGCGGACCCGAGCGGGACCTCGTCGTCCCTGGGGGGCTGCGATCTGCGAAGCGATCGCCACTTTCGAGCGCTGCTGGTGGGTCCTGCGGGGTGAAGCACCGCGCGGACCTGAGCGGGACCTCGCCGTCCCTGGGGGGCTGCGATCTGCGAATCTGTCGCCACTTTCGAGGGCTGCTGGGGGGTCATGCGGAGTGAGGCGCCGCGCTGATATGAGCGGGACCTCGCGGTCCCTGGGAGGCTGCGATCTGCGAGACGGTCGCCACTTTCGATGGCTGCTGGTGGGCCCTGCGGAGTGAGGCACCGCGCAGACCTGAGCGGGACCTCGCCGCCCCTGGGGGGCTGCGACCTGTGAAACTGTCGCCACTTTCGAAGGCTGCTGGTGGGTCCTGCGGAGCGGGGCACCGCGCAGATCCGAGCGGAACCTTGCCGTCCTTGAGGGGCTGCGATCTGCGAGACGGTCGCCACGTTCGAGGGCTGCTGGTGGGTCCTGCGGAGTGAGGCACCGTGCGGATCTGAGCGGGACCTCGCCGTCCCCAGGGGGCTGCGATCTGCGAAACGGTCGCCACTTTCGAAGGCTGCTGGTGGGTATTGCGGATTGAAGCACCGCGCGGATATGAGCGGGACCTCGCCGTCCCTTGGGGGCTGCGATCTGCGAAACTGTCACCACGTTCGAAGGCTGCTGGTGGGTCCTGCGGAGTGAGGCACGGCGCGGACCCGAGCGGGACCTCGTCGTCCCTGGGGGGCTGCGATCTGCGAAATGATCACCACTTTCGAGCGCTGCTGGTGGGTCCTGCGGAGTGAGGCGCCGCGCGGACCTGAGCGGGACCTCGCCGTCCCTGGGGGGCTGCAATCTGCGAAGCTGTCGCCGCTTTCGAAGGCTGCTGGTTGGTCCTGCGGAGTGAGGCACCGCGCGGACCTGAGCGGTACCTCGCCGTCCCTGGGGGGCTGCGATCTGCGAGACGGTCGCCACTTGCGAGGGCTGCTGGTGTCCAGCGGGGCGAGGCACCAGGCAGATCTGAGCGGGACATCGCAATCCTTGGGGGGCTGCGAGCCTCACGAATGCCGCTCGCAGAAGTACATGCGCCCATGTCGCGTCAACACCTCCGTATACCCCCTCCCAAGCTACTCATGCCCCACATTGTGCAGGGGTTGGAATACCAAGGGGTTTCAACCATACCCTGCATGCATACATACTACACAGAACATACATACATTACTACGTAATAGATCCATACATACATATATACAATATACACATAAACGATACCACACATCACGGGGGGGTCATGACGAGCATTTTCCAGCGATCGGAAAACCGATGTTAAAAACAGTTCGCCCGTGGGGGGGGGAAAGATAGTAGTCGTAGTCGTAGTCGTAGTCGTAGTCGTAGTAGTTGATGGTAACGAGAATAATGGTGACGTGGTAGTACTAGTCGTGCTCGTAGTCGTTATAGTCGAAATTGGTGATGCAATGATCACGGGCGGTGATGATGCGGTGATCCACGATTCGTACTTTCCCTGGTGATTATGAAATTCGGCCCCGCCGCTCCCCACCGCCGACCAAAGCTGCACTGGCCGGAGATAATGAACACTCAGGCCTTGAAGTGGAGGATGCTTTCTTATCCGGGGCATGCGGTTACGAGTGGTCTGAGCATGATGCCAGGAGGAAGGAGGCAACAATGAGGAAGTGAACGCGTCAAGAATCCCGTACCGAAGATGGAGAATAGTCGAGAAAACAAGATCATACACATAACCCGGTGGAGATCCGCGCGGAGGGCCAAACGTTTACGTTTGGATTGCCTTGTTGCGAGAAGCAGACGCAAAAGGCAGGCACGTAAACTTTCCTCGGTCCGCAGCAGTCGCGGATTCCTTGCATCGCTGCCGCACACCCCTCCCTCTGCGCGCGTGGCGCGCGAGCCATGGCGACGGGGGGCTCCACCAGGGAAGGCCCAGCGCAGATCCAGGAAATCCGCGCGGACCTCTGAACACATATTTGAAGGGGCCCAAGGACACACAAATAAATACACACAAATAAAACTATTCACTATATTTTCCCACATTTTCTGGGTTTCTGTCTTCCCCCCCACTTCCCATATTTTCCCATATTTTCTGGAGAATCGACGATTAATTGTGTCTGTGTGTTTCTTTTCCTCCTGAATATTGTCGGCCCCGCTATGGACTCCGGGCTGGGCGCCCCCGTCGCGTGCCGACCAAACTCCTCCCGGACCTCCCCCGCCGCCTCTGCAGGGGGCGGGCTGCCTGGGCTGGCGGCGTGCACAAAGGGGTCGAGGGAGGGGGGACAATTCCTTAAACGGCGGCTGTCTCTTAGAAGGCGCCGGCCGCCGTTTCAGGAAGCCAGGGGCGTTGCGCTTCTTGCAAACACCCAGCAGTTTGTTAGAAGCACGGAGCTGCTTCTTAGAAGCAAGCGTCGCTTCTTAGAAGCAAGCCGCTCGCTTTTTCAAAGCACGCCGGGAAACATTCCAAGAAGCAGCCGCAAGCTTCTCAGAAGGAGCGCCCACGCCTTCTACGAATGGGGGGTGATTCTAAACATCCTCCGACCCCTCCCCTCTGCGCGTGGGAGACTGAGGTTGCACACGCAATATCAATCACACGCCGCCGTGGGGAACAGATCGGCGTGTTAACGTTGAGGCACGACCGGAACTTCGGGCAAGCGCAACAAGGATAAGACGCTGACTGGCCCCAACGGCACCGTATCATTGATACTCGTTCGCAAACGGCGAGAATGATGTCAGAATGATGCTGGTTCGAAATGCGTTCCACGACTGTCCAAAGTATCTGAAGGCTACAGCTCTTGCGTTCTATGTGGAACGTTCGGACATGTTCGAAATCGACGTGCTCCTCTGACTTCCCCATACGGATATGGCGAGTTCGGGAAACCCTGATACCAAACATGTTGTCATCTCGTCGGGTCGCACCTTTTATTCCCGCCAGCTTCCGCTGTCCGAAGTAGCCTCGTTTTACTCCCGCCGCCCCTGGCGAATGTTCAACCGCCTTCCGCCGAGGAAGTACTACCACCCCTTCGATTAGGTCGGGCCTGTCTCCCTTACAGGGGGATTTTGCACGAAAGTCTAAAAAAATCCCCCAAAAAAAACAAAACTAAACAAACATGGTCAAACAATCGTCCCCAAATCATTTTGTACTATTTCTGAATTTTCCACCTGTAGAGGGACAGGCTCGACTTAACCCTTCAATGCCTCGAAAGCGAATCTCAAATTTCCTGGAACGCGTCATTTATTTTCGCCCCCGGACGCATTTAGGCTGTCCGCTGGGCTGTTCGCCCCTCGGCTGTTTTTTTATGTTTGCTGGGTTCTCCACAAGCCTGTCCTGTCTACTGCTCTGTCAGATAGGCGGCCCACTCATACCGGAGGGTCCCCAAGGGGGGTTTTGGGAAGGTGGTTTCCAAGAGGGGTCCCCCAGGGGCTTCGCACCCTCTGTTTTGACGAGGTTCCGAAGCCCCAGGGGGGCTCTCTGGAAAACCCCCTCCCCCCAAACCGCCTTTGGAACACTCCGGTCGTGTGCCCTGTCCTCTAAGCTGGCCACCCGTTTGTCTTCAAATGAACGACGATCAGAAACGCGCTCCAAGCGAGACGCCACAGCGACCTTACGATGCTTGCGCGTGCCGCCAGCGCGGCACGCCAGATTGGGAACGAAGGCGCTCACGCGCGATTTTGCTCGAACAACTTACGCGCGAACGGCGTCTATGACGACCCCGTTTTTGGCCGTCGCTCATCTGTGTCGTTCGCCCCGCAGCCCTGCTCCCGGCCCCCCGGTGTGGCCGTGACGCCGTCCCGCGCCCACTGCCGAGGCACTTCGGCCGCGGCTGCCCGCACCTGCGCGCTCATCCTGGCATGCCCTCGGCGGTGCATGCCCTCGCCTCCCTCCTGCCCTCCGCGGCCGCCCCCCCCACGCGCCCCTCCTCCTGCAGCCCGACGGATACTCTGCCGCGCGCCCTCGGCGACTCGAACGCCCGTGGGCATTGCCGCTTCCGTGCTGCTCTTCCTCTTCCCCCCCTCACAAGTGCTCCACACCTGGCTTCCGGCCCCCCGACGCCCTGATTTGTGGTCACAACGTCTCGGGTCGGGCGAGAGGGGGGGATGGTAAAGGGGGGGGGTGAGAATCAGCTCACACAGCTGATTTTCCTGGCGCCTCCCGGCGCTGGAGGAGGCTATGTATCGAGGAATGGGCCCCTCGGCGAGGCCGAAACCAGCTGCATGCAGCAAACTTCGTAATCCCCCCTTCCCCAATCCCCTCCCTTCGCCCGGTCCGAAGCGTCGACCCCCGCAGGTCTCGACCCCTTCCCCGGAACTGTCCTTGTTGTCCCAGCTCCTTCTGCTGGCGCTCCCGAGGTCCAGAAGGGCCCCCCGGAGGAGGGAGGAGGAGGAGGAGGAGGGAGGAGGAGGGAGGAGGAGGAGGAGGAGGAGGAGGAGGAGGAGGCCGAAAGCGTCCAAAGACACCGCCAGCCGTGCGTTGGCTTCGCAGCGCGCGGAAGCCTGTGCAGTCCGCCCCCGCTGCCAGTGCAAGCCTCGACCACCCGCCCCATATAAAGGGGCCCTGGGACACACAAATAAATACACACAAATAAAACTATTCCCCATATTTTCCCATATTTTCTGGGTTTTTTTCCTCCCCACCACTTCCCATATTTTCGCATATTTTCCTGGGAATCGCCGATTAATTGTGTCTGTGTGTTTCTTCCCCTCCTGACCATAGGGGGCCCGGCGGGGTTCGGCGGCGGCCCCGCTCGGAGCGCCGAGGAGATTCCGCGCGAGGTCGAAGGAGACAAGCACTGCGCCGCCCCTGGTGGCAAAGCCCCTGGGCGGGTGGCGGGGATGGGCCCCCGCCGCCAGAGGAGGAGCTCTCCTCTCCCCCCTTTTTTCCTCCACTTCTCCTCCCCCCGCCTCCTCTTCGCCCTCCACTTCCGCCTCCTCCTTTGACGTTGAGCAGACTTGAACTATATGTATTTCCCTCTCCTCCTCCACTTCCTCCTCCTCCTCCTCCTCCTCCTCCTCCTCCTCCTTGTCATATTCCTCCTCCTCCTTCTCCTCCTCCTGCTCCTTCTCCCCCTCCTCCTCTGCATCCTTTTCCTCTCCCCCACCTCCGCCCTCCTCCCCCTCCCCTTCCCCCGGCTCGCCTTCTCACTCCTCCACCACCTTTTCCTCCGACCCCTGATTCCTGATTCTAGATGGCGCGAGAAGTCTCCGTTTGCTGGCCCCCCACCCCAAGGCCAGTCGCCCTGGGGTCGATCAGCACGAAAGCCTGGTGGCCCGCGGAGAACCGCTCCACTGGCCGCTGGCTGCAACGTGTTTTAACGTGTCGTGGCACACGTAAAGAAGAAAGCCAGACAGACAGACAAAAAGACAGACAGGATGGGGAGGAGAAGGGAAAATACGAATGACCATGTCCTCGAAAGGGGGATGTGAGCAGGGGGATCTGTGTGCGGCAGCGTGTGGCGGGCTGAAGCAGCAACGCGTGGTGGGCCGAGTGCGGCCAGAGCTGGGCCCAGGGGCTCGTGGCAGGGCCCTCCGCCATCCCGGTCAACCGGCCCTGTCGGGCCAGCGCCCCGGCCCCCTTCAAGGGGGCGCCTTCAAGCAGAGGCGCCCAAGGGGGCGCCCAACGCGACAGAGGGGGCGCCCAACGCCCAGCGCAGTCGAGCGCCCAAGGGGGGCGCCCCGGGCCGCTTCAGGCAGAGGCGCCCAACGCGACAGAGGGTTGGGGGGCAGCCGGTCGGCCTGCGACGACGCAGAAGTAGGGAAGCCTGGGCCTTCCCGGCGGTGGCGCCTGCCACTCGCCGCGGACGGCGGGCTGGCCACCGCCGCCGAGTGGAAAAGCAGAAGGGCCGCTCCCCCCTGCACGTAGGAAATCCCCCGTGGTGTCCCCCATCCCCACGACTGGTATCCTCCTCTGCAGGCAGGGTAAGGTAGCCAGAAAGCGGAGGCAGAGGCCACTTGGGGGATTTCCGCTGTGCTTGGGGGAGGTTTCTGCTCTCCGTGGCGGCGGTTCGGTGGTAGTTTTTTTTTTCAAGGGCCCCTTCCCCCCCATTGTTCAAGGTTTAGCGCCTGCCACACACGTCGACAAGCACAGTGCCGCCTCGATTGTATTCGGAGCCTGGCTTCAAATTGCTGCTGCGGAGTGCCAGGAAGACCATATCGAACTGAAGAGTGCATACTGAGAAAGGCATCACATATCATAGAACTTAAAAGACGCTGGTCAGGACCCATCCCACGAAAAAGGAGGTAGAGGTGGAGCCAGGGCGAACCCTCAGGAGACCCAGAAGAACAGGGAGCCCAAGAGCCCATCCAATGTGAGAACAACTGCTGGAGCCTGGGGCACACGAGGTAGTGGTGCATGTCATCTAAGTCGGTCGGGGACGTCGGAGAACTAGGGCACCCAAGAAGACAGCCTCGAGGGGAAGCGTGAAATCGAGCACTAGTGCAAACACACCTGGAGAGCATACGTAGGTTGGCCAACGGGATGTAAGGACTGGACTGACGGGCCAGGGCTTTGATGACTTTGCAAACCCAGACGATGTCCGAAAGGGAGACCTCAGGGATCCAAGCACAGGCACGCCGAAGGAGAGCTTCATGAGGGGTGACGGCGGGACAGTGAAAGGGCCTCAGCGCACGCATATACTGCTTCTGTACATCCTTACGCTCATACAAAATCTGGAAGCCGTGGGATGCAACTTCGTCCTGGAAGGTGAACAAGTGAGTGAGGAAACTATTCGCGTACCAGCCGCGCCGCTGCCGATATGGGCACCAATCATCATCTTCAAAAATCCGGGCGACTTGGTCACGGACCCGAGGCAGCTCATCACAACGTGCAATGTATCTCGCCCGAGTAGCATCTGCCACAAGCGAGAGCCGAGGGAACTCAATAGGGAACCCATAAACACAAAGGTGGGTACACATGTCGTAAGATAGCGCATGGTTAGGGCCAGCAGAGAGGAGACGGACACAGGATTGATAAGCTTTGTCTAGATCACGAGTGGGACGGTGCAGCTGCAAAAGGAAAGACAATAGAGAGACACAAAACGCTTTGAATAGAACAATGGATTGAGCCAAACCAAGCCCCAGATCCCGAATCTCACGCGTCCGCTTTTTGAGTTTAATAATGGATGCCGTGAACGCCACGTCCTCAGCCCCAAGACCAATCCAGACCCCAAGGTACTTCAGACACTTAGTAATTTCAACCAGCTGGTAGAGGGGCCCCAGGTCAACCAGGAAATCACGAAGAGGGTCCCTGAGACGCTCGTAAGCCAGCAGAATCTGGCACTTCGGGAAATTGAGAGCCAGACCTATCGCGCCGTGAAGCAACTGCAAACACTTGAACAGCGGCTCGATGCCGTCGAAGATACAGCGGAGGCCGAAACAAAAATCGTCGGCATACGCGAGAGACAAAGTCAGCTGAGATGGAAGCTTAGCCCTCACCCACGCTAGTACAGGTTAAACGGCCAGGATAAATAGAAGCATCGAGCTCGGGTCGCCTTGCCGAACTCCTCTCCCAATCGAGAAAGAACCAAACATCCTCCCAAAAATATAAATAATCGCAGAATTATCTTGATAAAGAGCCTGGAAGAACAAGATGACAGCAGACGGGACACCCATGGAGGCCAGCACGCGGAGGACCCAGGAGACCTTGATCGAGGGGAAGGCGGATTCGAAGTCCGTCAGGACGAGCCCACTCGTATATCTATCACGAAGGTGGCACTCAAGAAGGAAACTTTCGGCCTCCATCACATTCGCGAGCATGTCGCGGCCGCGGAAACATTTCTGTGGAGGCTGGAGAAGACAGTGCCGCGCAACCTTGCGCGTGAGAATCATAGCCATCGAGGCCGAGAAAACCTTGGCATCCGTATTTGTCATGCTTAGTGGACGAGTACTAGCTGGTTCACGATAAACTCCCTCCCCCACCTCCGCCTCCGTTATCTTTTTGGGTAAGAAAACCATGAGACTCCGTTTCATATCATCGGGCAGACCAGCCCGAGGGTTACGGATGAAAGCTTGGTAGCATTCGTAGAGAAGTTCACCAGCAGCGCGGGCCCTCCAGGCCGAGTAAGGGATCCCATCCTCCCCTGGCATGCTGTCTTTCCTCCCCCGTATCATCTGTAGCCACTCAAACTCACCCATCATCCACCCGTGCCCGATTAAGTCCTCTTCCTCCATCTCCGCAGGGACCTCTGGCAACTTCGGCGCAAAGTTAAGCAGCTCGGGCCAGAGGGACTCGTCGTCCTCAGTAGCAGCAAAGATAGTACTCCAGTGATCCTGTAGGGCCTGGGCAGCCTCTTCTTCTGTCTTGCTAATGTCCCCTGAAGCCGACAAGGTCCCTTGGAGCCACGTCCGCCTTTTCATCTTCCGCCAGAGTTCCTTCCGAGCCGCCAACTTCCGCCGAGCATTCTCACCCCCCTCAGAGGGCACGGGTCCGAGCCCATGACTGAGCTGAGGCCAATGACTAGGCCTAGTGTCCTCAACCGAGTCCTGATTGAGAAACTCCTCCTCAGCAGACAGAAGAGCATTATGGAGACTCTGAACGTGTTGGCAGAGGGCCTCGCATCTGGCATCCTGAAGGCCGGCAGGAAAGTGAGCAGCGAGCGCCGGGTACGCGGCAACCGCCGCCGCAAGCTTGAAAGAGTCTCCCGCACGCCATGCACGAAGGGCTTGCAGGGCACGAAAGTGTTTAGCTTCGGTAGTGTCAGCAGGTTTCAAGTTGACCAGACGTTTAACCTCCTCAGCAACTTCAAACACCAAAGATTTCGTTTCTGCAAGACGAGTCCACGGGTCACCACAGGGAAGGGCACCAATAGCGCCGTTCAAAAGCTCAGCGAATAAAGGGTGCCGAACAACCCATGGAGCCAGACGTTTGGGAGCATCCTGAGGTCTGAAGGTGCTGATCGCGACGACTATCGGGATGTGGTCCGAGACCATATCCACCTTCAGGGCCCCCCGCGCCTCGCAAACAATCGTGAGGTCAGTGATCAAAGCCGAGGGAAGCGTACTGTACATACGGTCTAGCCGAGAAGAGTGGGTCGTGACACCGTCCCTGACCTCCCTCCTCGTGTCCTCACACTGGTAAAACTCAATCCAAGAGCCACAAAGCCGATGAAATAGAGAAGTATGATTATCATCTCCAGGAGACCACCCACTACCATCCGCCCGAAGTCTCCCATCAGAAGAGAGCGCAAAGTTCCAGTCACCTACCAAGATAGTGAAACATTCAGCGGGGCTGGGAAGTTCACGAAGGATGGATCGTATAGCGTTAGCATATACACACGTGAGCTCATTAGTGTTCGGCATGTGCGCATTGATGATACATAAGTTCCCGAGAGGCCCAGAGAGGTAAGACTTGAGGATGCGACCATCGATGACGCTGGAGTGAGAAATAGTAGAGAAGAGCTTCGCAAACGCAGGCTGGATGCACGTGATAACACCACCAGTAGCAGCAGAGTCAGGGAACAGAGAGTGACCAATCTCAAAGTGCCGAAGTTCTCGCCGAAGCTCGTTTATATCCGCAATCTGCCCGTGTGTTTCCTGGGTACAAAAGACCGAGAGTTGGTTCGCGAGCTTCAGAAACTTCGCAAAGCGCGGGGCAGCCTTCATACTTTTAGTGCGAACAGCGGCGAGGAGGGCAGCAGTATTCCAAGATCCAATCTTCATCTCTGAGGGGGGGAAGAAGGGGCGGGTCCTGACCATAGAGACAGGGATTCCCTGATTTGTTCGGGGAGCGCTGCCAGAGACGCGATGCCCAGAACATTCTAGGGAAACGGACACAGAGGCCTGATCAACCGAGGCGGCACAGGCAGGGAGGGCACCGACGGG